CTTCCATTAGGCGCAGACAAAAGCAAACTGCTGCAGCCTCTCCTTGCTTGTTTGTTCTTCCTCATTAATACATTTTGCCATCCTGATCACACTCTGATGTTGCTTGGCTACATGTGTTCAAGTTTTCATATGTGAAATGTTGGACTGCATGGTATTGTTGGAGCCTACTGGCATGTGTAAGAAAAGGAGTCTTTAAGGGTAAGTAATTTGTTTCAGCATGAGGTTTTGTGATCTGCCCTCCACTTCTTCAGATGCAACTTACATTTGAAGAAGTGGATTGGAGTCCAAGAAAGCTTATGCTGAAACAAGCAGCTTAATTTGAAAAGTGCCACTGGATTTCTTCCTTCTGTTTATACTAAAATGGACCAACAGAGTTATCTATGAATGTGTAGCCTTGGGGTCAAGGTACAGTGAATTGCATATGTGGCTTCCAGGTAGAGTTGACAAAAATAAGGCTATTGCTTCCCAAATTAGAAATCTGCTCCCAAATAAAAATTTTCTTCAGCCCCAAAATTTCTAGAATTGCAGTGAATGAAAATTTCAGTTGAGCATTCAGAAATACAGTTTAGACAGCCAAAGAAAAGGGGGAAGCAGAATTACCAAGGGAACATGAACACAGCCTATATAAGAGTGGATCAAGGTACGGTGAATTGCATATGTGGTTTCCAGGTACAGAGTTGGCAAAAATAAGGTCATTGCTTCCCAAATTAGAAATCTGCTCCCAAATAAAAATTTTCTTCAGCCCCAAAATTTCTAAAATTTTCTTCAGCCCCAAAATTTCTAGAATTGCAGTGAATGAAAATTTCAGTTGAGCATTCAGAAATACAGTTTAGACAGCCAAAGAAAAGGGGAAGCAGAATTACCAAGGGAACACGAACACAGCCTATATAAGAGTGGATCATTTGGGGAATGAAGGAAAATTTAATGTGTCTGGGCAATTCTTATTTGGAGGTGCAATGCCCTCACGCATATACTCCTGTAGCTATGCCCCTGGCCTCATGTAATGTTCCAGTACATACACAGTCATTCCTTCCAAATTCCTGCAGGGTTTGTGTAAGCAATGCCTCCATGATAATTACAATGCATGGAACTGCTCTCATGTGTGGGAGAGCCCAGTGTTTGGGCTACCCCCCACCCAATATTTAAGGAGCTTCTGGATCACAACGTTCATTTTCTACTTCATTTTTAAAAGTATATATATCGAGCAGCTTAGCTTTCCTAGTTCCATTTCTTTCCTAAGAGTTGTTTGAAATTCTTATCTTTCACTGAGCCAGTATGACATATTCCAGGTACAGGAATGAGATTACACAAGTGCCTCTTGCTAAGTACACAAGTTATCCTAAAAGAGCAGAGCTTGAGAAGAGGGTATGGGAATATTTTTAAATGAAAAGGCCAGTTTATCTCCCTGGGACTTGCACAGACATAATACAAATGTTTGCCTTCTGTTGTCTCACTCCTTAACAAGGTCCTCCTGGTTGGAAGGGAACAGATAACATAGCTGTGCTAAAGTGGCAGCTTCCTGGAGAATTTGTGACAGACAGGCAGGCTAACGTCAAAAATGTCCCACAGATATCGCAGGACCACCCTTTTTTATTGTTTAAGAAGAGAAAAACAGGGGGAAACTTTGAAAGAAAAGGTGAGAAGATGAAATGGAGAGGAGCTTAAAGGCAAACATGATCCATTTGCAAATAGCAAGCATGTTTTTCAATCCAGAAGACCTAGCCTGACCTAAGTACTATGTGAAAACCAGAACATGGCATGCTGGTTGGGAGATTCTGGGAACTGTACTTTACACAGTATTTTTCCCCAAGATCTGATGAAATCAACAAGGTTCATCCATAGGGTTGTCAGAATTCAACGCCTGGCTCTAAAGGCCTTTGCAGACTGCCAGAAATAGTGCACATTAAATTGAGGCACTGCCCTGGCTCAGTGCTAGGGAGTCATGGGAGTTGTATTATTTTCTGGGACATTGAGCCTTCTCTGTCAGAGAGCTCTGGTGCCACAATAAATTACAGATCCCATGATTCCCTAGCACTGAGCCAGGGCAGTGCCTCAATTTAATGTGCACTATTTCTGGCAGTCTGCTTAGGCCCTTAGTCTCCACTTTTTGTGGGTCATCTGCATATAGGAATGAGGGTGCAAATTCTCCAGTTTTGGGGATCTCAGCTCTGGGGAAGAGGAAAGATCTGAATGCAAACCTCCAGCTTGGTTAGTAGAGTAAGCAGCTTGGTACAATTTTGCAAGGCTTAATTGATTTGTTGCTGCATTTTGCCAAGACTGCCCAGAGTGACTATTTACAGATTTGAGTGTATCCTGACAGATTTAAAAGACCACAACATTAAGGACCTTATCACACGGGGTCTAAAGCAGACCTAATCCAAAGGATATCCATAGCTAATCCATATTAGTTCCCCGTGTTTACACACGACGCTGTACCAAAACTCGACAGAACCCGAAGCTAATCCGTATTAGTTCCCCCGTGTTTACACACGACGTTGCACCGAAACTCGACAGAACCTGGAGCTAATCCGTAATGAATTGAGATCTTTTGACATTCGGTTTATCGGGGAAGTACAAGCGAGCTTTCGGAATTATTGCGCAATGGCCGCGCAGGCGAAATACATACGATCACGCAATACGTATTGTGAAGCATTTCAGTTCATTTCGGTATAGAACTGAATTTATTCTTATTTTGGTTACTTTTCGCTTCGTGGGCCAGCGTGTGATAAGGTCCTAAGAGATTTTGTTTTTGTTCTTGGGATAAAGATCCATACATATTTTGTTTATCTCTGAATATTTTCTCTCAGCTCCCAGTAGGATCCAGTTTCCTAAGTCAGTTTATTTTAACCTAGTATAAAATCAGAAATTTTATAATTTTAACCTAGTATAAAATCAGAAAGAACAGGGACAAAATCTAGGGTTTTTCAATCAGTCAGGATGTGCCCTTATTTACCTTCCTCCTTCCCTTCCATTTGTTATGGCACCAAGAATCATCTCTCATTTTGTTCTGCATTACCTTCTAGCTAGAAGCAAGTTGTTGTGTGTATTCTAGATTGTTTCTGTCATAAGGGGACCCTAAGGCAAACCTATCACAGAGTTTTCTTGACAAGATTTATTCAAAGGTTTCTTTTGCCTTATTATTGAGGTTGAGAGTATGTGACTTGCCCAAGGTCACCCAGTGGGTTTCCATTGCTGAGCTGGGATTCAGAATGTATCTTTTCCCCTCCCCCAACTTTTCTGGAATTTGGGGGAAAGTTACATTTTTAGACTGCAACTATAGCCAACCTTGGCTGAGGTTTTCTGGGAGCTGTAGTCCAAAGAATTAATTTGTCCAAGTTCCAAAATTAACCAGTGTCCTGAGTCAGTGTATTGAGAGCCATTGCAGAGGAATATGGCAGCCTGTGCTGGACCACTGAGTTGCTCTTTGACATCAGAACAATTTGTGAAAGAAATAATTAAAAGTGTCTCCCTCAAAGCCACTGCAGCCACTAAAACTATTCATAAATGAGCAAAAATGTTTATAATTTTCTCTGCTGCATTACAAATTGTCTCAAAAAGCTGCCTTAGTTTTGAGGACTGCAAAAATGGGGAGCAGCATTTTTTGGCTCAGCCCTAATTGTATTCTTCACTAACGTGGTGCATTAGGTACACTTCATGAAAGCTTGATGTGATGCTATTTGTTTTTCACACCTGGGACTGAAAGACCCTCTTTTCTTCTTATATAACAGATGGATTCCTTTATGTGTCAGTTCTGCAGTGACTAACAATCAGCACAGAAGGTGCCAATTACTTAATTTTGGTGCTTTGTAGTTTGTCATGCAGCTGCCTCCATCATTTAATGTCTCTGCTGAAATCTGGCTGCCTCCTCGGCTTGCTGCACAGTAGACTGAGATTCAGGTTAACTGATGACATGTTGGGGAAAGCAAACAGGCAGGCTCTATAATGCAACTGTCTCTGCATTTTTAATAGTTGTTCGAGTTATTTTACGAGCCCTGGAGTTCTATGGCATCAACAGGCTTTTTATTAGATGGAAATTGCTATGGAGCATATTATTAGGTGGCATAATTAGTATTAATCAATAATAGCTTATTACATCATTTAATATGTAATGCAGTGGACCCTTCATATCCACTGTGGTTTGGTTCCAGGACCATCACCCTCGGGACACCAAAATTCATGGATGCTCAAATCCCATTAAATACAATGGTTTAGTAAAATGGTGTCTCTTATATAAAGTAGCAAAATCAAGGTTTGCTTTTTGGAATTTATGTATTTTGAAAATATTTTCAAGTTGTGGATGTGTGAATCCATGCCACTGCATTCCTCCTGAGGCTGAAAGCATTTCACTTGCCCAAGGTCACCCAGTAGGTTTCATGGCCAGCCGGGAATCCAATTGCCATTACAGCCATGAAAGTAAAAGACATGTTTATATTTTCCAACATTTCACAGATGAAAAGGATATGTCTGACCAAATAACATCAGAGCGTGGTCAAGATAACCAAAGTTATTAATGAAGAAGAGCAGACCTGTTGGGGAGGCTGCAGCAGTTTGCTTCTGGCTGAGACTACAGAGAGGAAAAAAGTTTCTGTCCCTTCCGCTCCTCTGCATTGCACTCAATTAATTCAGGGCAAACACCTTTTGCACTTTGCTCTGAGTTTTCAGCAGTCGAAGTAAACCAGGGGTAGGCAACCTAAGGCCCGGGGGCCGGATGCAGCCCCC